TATGAAAAAAAGAATTGTCACAGAGAACAGAGATGCTGTACCATGACTTACCTGTGCATTTACAGCTTGATCCTAAGCTCATTGCAACCAATAGCCAAACGTCCATGGACTGCAGTAGTGCAAGATCAGGCTTTTGGATCTAAACTGTGCAATTCCTTGCATTCTGATTGGCTGAGAGATTCTAATTGCATAATGATGGAGTGGTTGCTGAGAAATATTTGCATAATCGTCACTGTAGGCTAACTAAGAAATAACTGCACTTTGATTATGCAAATTAGGCCCCCAATCTGACTCCCAGATTAGAACTTCAGCAAGAGGGCAGATATTTTCCATTAACACTCTGTGGTTATTTCCTCATACCTGTGCAGTGATTGTGCAAAGATTTCTCATTTATTCTAGTACAAATAATTTGATTCCCTAATTAAACTTTCCTCAGAACATCCTATTAATATATACAGCCCAAACATAAATTCTGTGGCATATTCCTGGGAGTAATGCTACCTAGGTTCAGGTTCACTTTCTTCCTCATAACTGCTGCCTGGATCTAAAAACTTTCCAAATTCTGGCCAAAGGTATATTTACTATAAATTCCTTAACTTTTGGCCTTGAGATTTTGTAGCATGGGTTATGCTCACTGCACAGTACACATATGGAACCCTGAAGTTCTTGTCTAAGGCAATTTCCTCAGTTATTCCAGTGTTAATATGGAGTCAGTCACTAGACTTTAGTGGGGTTTCTGTGAAGCAGCATCTGAGGGTGTGGTAAGAAACTGCTCCAAAGTAGTAACAATCTAATTGGCTTATAAATCAAGTGTAGTTTGTGTTTAGGTCGATTATCCATTAATAATAGTTATTAAAAGGAAAATTGAGCTTTTAGGCAAATGCTGGTTCCTGTGGCTATTTTTGTAATTTTTCAGTGACTAAATGTCAGGCATACATCAGTCTGTTTGACAAGTACATTTTGGAAAAAGAATGCTTTAAAAATGCATTAACTTGGTCTGCTATCTTCCTTCTCACTTCCTCCTCTACTGCTGCTCTTTTTTTTATCCACCCTGTTCTTGTCTCCTGATTTGCCTCTCTCCTTTTCTCCCCTGCTTTTTCTGACAATGAATTAATTTACTCCTCTACCTCTCCTTCCTCCTTCCTTTTCAGTTGGTCTCTACTGCGGTGAGGCTGGATGGGCTCTTTCCTTTTTAAGTGAACATACGAGTTACCTTTGAAGGCACCTTTAAACATTCTAGTGTTTTCTAAAGCTTTTCTTTTTCTTATAGAGTTGCAAAGCTGGGAACTGTCTACAATGCCTATGATAAGAACCCATGACTGGATAACAGATTTGAGAATGTAGAGTCAGCTGCAGGGTTTCTCATTAAAATATTTTGATGGGCTTTTCCCCTTTAATTGTATTATTTCATGGTGTTGACTCTTAGCATCCCCAGCTCTTGATGCCACACTCATTCTCATTTAATGCTGCTAGTGTCATTGCTAAAAGCTAAGAGCGCTAACATTGGCCATTTACCATGATCATTTCAGAAGCCTCAGATTAAATCCTAAATAATGAAAGTTATTGCTCAGATTAGCTTTTAATAATCAGACTGTGTATTTTAACAATCACATTTAATTATGTATATAGCTCTGTCTGTATCACTCCTCTTTGTGATCAGCAATATTCCTGGCCTGCCACATAGTCATACTTTACATTTTACTCATGTTGCTAATTAATATTGTATCATTATAAGAAACATAAAATTAAATTAATGTAACCGTAAAATTCTTGTTAAATCTAAATGGTTCCTTCTTATAACTTTGCATAGTAGATATTGGAGATATTAATAATTTCCACTTGCACTTTGCCTTTGGCTGATGAGTCTTAGGAACCTGTGCAGCCTTTTCTCAGCTATTGCATCAGCTGATGGGGGAGGGGGGGAAAGAGATATTACAATGGATCTTTGGCCTGATTCTACAAAAAGGTAGAATGGCACAGAAGGATGGATGGAGAATCAGCGGTTGTTTGCTTAATGCTGAATTCAGTTACTTACGTGGGCTTCTTAAGCCATACCACATTCAATAGTTTCAGTTTGGGGAACTGGCACATGCTACATGACTGACAGGTACTGACTAGTTGCCATTCCCACTGGCTATCACAGAATTTAGGGCTTTCTCCACACTTCCCAGGATCCAGGCCAGGCTCTACTGTTAGGTTTGGTTCTGATGCTTATGAAAGCATGGACTGAACATCAAACTAAGCTGAAACTCAAATCTGAAACTCAAGGTAAAACAACCACTGGTTTGGATCAAAATCATAAGCCATGTCTAGGATTTCCATACAAAATCATGAATCTTCCCTGCTTCAGTCAAAATCTGGTTGATACTTGCTGAAAGCTTTTGGATTGGAATTCACAGTCTTTCTCATTTAGAATAGTGATAGAGATGTAGCCGTGTTAGCCTGGTGTAGCTGAAACAAAATACAGTACTATGTAGCACTTTAAAGACTAACAAGATGGTTTATTAGATGATGAGCTTTCGTGGGCCAGACCCACTTCCTCAGATCAAATAGTGGAAGAAAATAGTCACAACCATATATACCAAAAGATACAATTTAAAAAAATGAACACATATGAAAAGGACAAATCAAATTTAAAGGGAAAGGGGGGGGGGGGGGGGGGGGGGGGGGCTGGGGGGGGGGGGAGGGAGGAAGCAGGAGGAGGAGGAGAGAGAGAGAGACAGACGGAGTGAGAGACCGAAGGCTCAGGAGAGAAGACCAATGTGGAGGAGAGACCTGAAAATCCTGTCTTATGACTGGCTAATTGGCTAGTTCTGTGATATGAGGCAATTCACTTTACCCCACACCTTTGTTTCCTCTTGTCCTGTCTGTCTTAATAAGAGACTCACTTATATATTTTTGGGCTTCATCATTCTCTAGGACAGGTCATGCACAATCTCAGTCAGAACCATGTTAAAAATAATATGCATCACCGGAATGGGATTGTACAATGTCAGTGATTGATATTCTAACTCTTAAATCCCTGTGAAACTTGAAATAACTGTGTATACAGTTCTCAAATATTTCCTAGTATTCTTTCGTTTGATTACTTAGTCAAGTTTCATTTGTGTTTTTTCTACTTTCCTTGGGTCATCCTTTCTGTGTCATGGTGCATTTCTTCATTTACTAGTTTCAGTCTGCAGTGTGGAGGCTTTCAGTATGATGTTTCATACTCTGATGGGAACATGTTTATCATTAGGTTTTCGTTACTTACAGTGAATATTCTTGCAAAGCGAGTCTTTTATGGCACAATCTTAAAATCTCAGTGTGGGGAAAAAAAACTGTATAGAAATGTCATCTCTTCCCTGCTCTGCAAATTAAAACAGGAACCCAGGTAGAGAGAACAAAGATTTGAGCCTAAAAACTGTTAACATTTGTAACTAGCAAACAAATTATGGATTAGCTCTTTTTGAAGGACTTATCTGATTTGAGAGCATTAGTCTCTGGAAAAATTAAACCTTTTTAAACCCCGCTTTGCTGCTGCTGTTCAGATTCTTAATTGGTGAGTTTTGCCCTGCACCCCTTGCCTTGCTTGGTGAGTCAATACTGAATACCAGCTGCACCAACACCTATGGTGCTCTTGCCTGTGGCTTCAGTGACATGGAAAAGTGGAGTTGAAAAGTTGGCAGTCTGTAGTTCTGTGTTGGCAGTTAGAGGGGTGGAAAATAATCTTTGCTCAAAGCTCTTGTAGGGAAGGAAAGAACCATTCATTGTTTAGATTGCATTAATTTTTTTGTTTGGTAATTTTAATCTCTATGCAGGGCTGAACTATAGCTTTAGAAAGGCTTCCAATATATGAAAGAAAAATCTGATTGATACCAGCTATTGAAAATTATTCACTTCAATGTATAACTTGTTTCTAATGTTTGCAGTTGTGCAAATTATTAACTAGCAGACACATTTGATTGCAAATAGCTACTGAAGTCAGATTAGACTTCATTACAGCAGCCTCTTGTATGTCCTGGAGTGACTGTGCTCCTTTTTAATGTCACTTGAGGGGTTGTGTACACTTAAAAGGCTGTTGTGAAGACACTGTTTGCTGATGGGAGGGGCTTTACTTTTGATGTAGGTATTACACCTCTCTCAAGAGATGGTAGCTAGGGTGATGGGAGAATTTTCTTGTATCCTTTGGTATATATGGTTGTGACTATTTTCTTCCATTATTTGATCTGAGGAAGTGGGTCTGGCCCACGAAAGCTCATCATCTAATAAACCATCTTGTTAGTCTTTAAAGTGCTACATAATCCTGTATTTTGTTTCTCATTTAGTACCCACTGAGGATCACTGATGCTGTCTATAGCTGACTTTCCAAAGAAGCCTACATTTTGGAGCAGCAGATTGCAGAGCTGCCCATGACTCCGTCAGTCCTTCACTGTGACACTCACATTTAATAAATTCCCCATCAATGGCCATCAATGGCCTCAAAGGACATGAGTTAATCCAGCTCTGGGACACTATAAAACTGCATGTAGACATTGGGGAGTAGGGAATTGAATGGACTTTTGCATTTTATAATTTGAGGTTGCAGAACAAATTTGGATACCAGGATTTGACCAGAGACAAAGTTTAGATAACAGAGAGGGATGCATGATTAGGGTCAGAAAATCAGGCATGCCTGCATTACAGTTGTCTGGTATGTACTCCTACTTCCTTTTACAAACACTTCCCACCCCTATACAGCTCCATGGATTATTTTTTTATCTGCCTGGAGGACATAGTACAGTACTACTATTGTCTCTTTACACCTCTTCATGATTAGCATCTGTAATGCACAGAAGTAGTGATGATTAGCACTCGGTGATTAAGGGGTTAAATTCAGGTAGTTAGCAAAGGTGTTGGCCAGGGGGCCGGGAGAACCAATCCCGATAGAGGGTTGAAATTTGAATTGGATATAGGTTCCCTGCCTGCTTTTTTTTGTGTGGGAGAGAGAAACCAGGAGTTGAGAGACACAGAATAATTTAAATCCAGGCAGGACTACCATGTCTCCAAGGAATTTGGACTGAACAAAGAAAATTATGAGTAATTAAAGGGGAAAGTGAATCCAGTCAGGTTGAGGGTAATTTTTCTTTCTTTTGTGGTTTGGTTTGAACTGCTCTGTGTGATTCTATGCCTCTGCTCCTCATTTACTACCTTGTATTGTGCCTAGAGACTTTTTTCTGTGTTTTAATTTGTTTTCCTTTGTTGCTCTGTATCATCTAGCAACCAAGTATGCTTTATCAAGTTTACCTTTTGTTTTGTAATAAAAATCACTTCTTTTAAAGTGATGATTTGCTTCTTGTATCCTGGAAGGTCTGTCTGTGTGTATCTGCATGCCTCTGACTGAGGGGCCAGCTACCAGAGCCTACAGCTTGTTTTTCTGTTTTCTTTTTTCAAGCTCTTTGGGAGCCCCTGGGGGTGATTTCAAGTGTTCACCCCTGGTTTTTAGAGAGAGAAAAGCATTTGATGGTGGCAGCAATTCCCCCAAATCTGTGTATTGTGATTCTGCGGGGAAGCTTTTTGTAATCAGTGCTTGTAGAGGCAAAGTTTTAAGCTCTCTTGCAGGCCCTCACTTTCTGCACTCGTGATAGAAATGTAGCCGTGTTAGTCTGGTGTAGCTGAAGCAAAATACAGGACTATGTAGTCTTTAAAGTATTTTGTTTCTGCACTCGGTGTGCCAGAGTGAGGAATGGCCCTAATAGCATCATTGCCACTTTTCAACCAAGAGGGGACTCCCTGAAAATAAGAGTATCCTGAGCTAATTCCCATGACATCTGGGAGAGCACAATCAAGGACTCCTGACTTGGGAATGGGGTGGTAGCTTATGGCAATTGTTTACATTGTGCAGAGGCAGAAGGGAAAAATGTCTGAGACTGTTAACAAGGTATGTGTCAGTGCCAGCAGCTGCAAAGGTGAATCTTCATTGAATTGAGCTCTTTAAAATGGAAAGTAAGCAATAAAGAGAAAGAAGTGGGCAGACTGATTTTGTCACATCTTTGCAAGCCCCTGAGCATTTTGTTGAAAGAAGTGGAGATGATATATATGGCTATTTCAGCATATCACACTGAAGCGTGGAGCTTGTCACTCCAAGAGGCGTAGGTACACATTTAATTACACCCAGATGGCAATTCCAGCTCAGAAAACAAGCATGTAGCTTGAGCTGAGAAGTAAATCAACAAATCCCTGTATTCAGCCCCCGCCTCCTCTTTTAAATTATTAGAACTAATTATTGTCAGCAATGTTTGTTTTTTCTTTAAAAAGATACTTAAGGACTCTCATCCTTAACAAATGTGGAAAACCCTAAATAAATGTGAACATTACATCTATGATACTGCAGCAATCTGCGCAAAATGCTTCCCTTCACCAGGACAGTTACCTGAGGCATTTGGTAGAATAACACCACTTGATAGATTGACCCTGTACTTCTTTTTTTCCGCCAAGATCTCTGAGTCTGTGAGGTCTCAGAGTCTGTGGCTCCATCTGTGCTGTGAAACTTAAATGTGCCCTAAGCCATGGCATTCCAAATGCACTGGAACCTGGATAGCTAGCCCATCTGGGAAAAGATAAGTTCTGTTTTGATATCGCTTCACAGTGTGCCTGAAATATTTATTATTATTATTATTATTATTATTATTTTATTTTATTATTATTTGGTACCCTATTAAGAACATAGAAAGTGAAAAACTGCACAAACTGAAGAGGATCAAGCTAAATGTAATTTTAAGAACAGATGAAGAAGTAAATTGTCTATCAATGCTATATTCCAAAATGGCCCCAGTCCAGCAAGGCATATTAACATGGAATCACTGGAGTATTCAGGTACTTAAAATTAAGCATCTGCATAAATGCTTTGCTGGATATTGGCCTAAGTGTTGTCCTAGCTACCCTTGTTAAGGGATATTTAATGAACAGAAGTTGCTGAAGTAGATGGAATTTTGAACTGCTGTGTGCCATTTATCTTCAAAAGTACTCCAATTGCTTCATGAAGGAAGAAGAGGGACAGTTTTAAAGAGAAGCAGAGACTAGGTCAAACATATTGAAAATATAATGTCTATCTCCTGCATGTCATACACAACAAGGCACTCAAAACTTTACAAATTTCTTCAACTATATTCATTCATCTTGACTGATTTCTACCAGGAGCAATAGATTTAGCAGTAACAAAATGATGAATGAATTTAGTTTGGGAACAAAATTCTCTGCCTTTATGCCTCACTTCTTATTTATTTCAGGGAGAAATATGATTACATATGATCTAGGAAAAAATATTAAATTGTTGCTGGTAAAGACTGCAGTTGGACACAAAGAATTAGTGCAATAATTAATGATTAAATCAGATTATTTCTACAGAGGTATCTTTAAATTGGGCACAGTCAGTCAAACAATATGCAATATACAGCTAAGTGCAAGGTGAGTCAGGGTATGTCTACACTACCCCGCTAGTTCGAACTAGCGGGGGTAATGTAGTCATCCGCAATTGCAAATGAAGCCCAGGATTTGAATTTCCTGGGCTTCATTTGCATAAAGCCGGCTGGCGCCATTTTTAAATGCCGGCTAGTTCGAACCCCGTGCCGCGCGGCTACACGCGGCACGGAGTAGCTAGTTCGGATTAGGCTTCTAATCCGAACTAGCTGTACTCCTCATTCCACGAGGGGTTCGAACTA